TCTTCATTTTACACTGTTCTTTTGTGTTAGAATTGTTTCTTCTTTCCTGTAGAAGATATTATTCTTTAATTTTATCCGTCTGTTTTTTTTCTTCTGTAATTGTCAACGCTTCCTTTTTTGTGATTTCATTTTCAATTGCCAAAATTTTGTCGACAGAGTCAGTTTTATATGCTATTGAATTTTTTAATTATTTTTAAGATTTCAAAAATAGTCCAAGTTTCAAATTTTAAGCCATTCCTAAAAAAATCTTCGAACGACGCAAGCGGTTACTATCGTAATAAAAATGGTGATTGCAATAGATTTGCAAGCATCGGTGTATTTAGATGATAAATCGCGAACCGAAAATTGAATATCGGCAGCGCATAGTTCGTCAGGTTTGTAGAAGCGTTGGGTGTTAATTGGGTTGCATTTATTAGCCCAGCCCGATCGTACAATTTCGCAATTACGAGCTTGCAATCGATGTTAAAACTACAGTACGTGCCAATAAAATCAGCGCAGCGAAACGTCGATAGCGAGACAGTGTATCGCTTGTAAGCAAGAATAAATTTAATATATACAACTGACCCTGTTGCAAACGAAGAACCAACATATATACAATTTTCCTTCGTTATTTTGATATTCTCGTTTAATAGAGTTTGATTGTTTGCTTGTGATTGTCGTTAAATCGAAGAATACCTCTTCAATTTAATATCAATCATTATTTGAACGCTTCAATTTATATGGTATGCTTGTATGGATAGGAAATGAACAAAATTTAATTTTATACGAATGGAAATATTATTTAATAGCAAAAGAATATTTTCTGCACGCAGCGTGTTCAGCTGAAAAATACCAAACGTGGAAATCGCAAAAAATTTGGAAAATGTTCAGAGGATGACCTGTTAATTAAAACAGAATATTTTTTACTGCTTATTTTGAAGGGTTTCATTTACTGCAGTCTGAAAGGGTATAAAAACCTTCAAATTTTAATTATTATTTTTTTTTATCCAAATGAATATAAGTATAAAATCGTTATTAAAATTATTTGTATTTAAGATTACTTGATTATAATTAACGTCATTTGCGGTGAGATAGAAATCTTCATAATATGGGTGGTACCGGAAATCAAATCTCCGTCTCATCCACGATAATTCGTCAGTATTGATCAACCAGTATGATTGCAGTGTCCCTTGGTAGAAGGAGGCCTGTATCGAATCGTTCATGAACATACAGCGTACCATGGTGTATCGTTGTTCCATTCGTAAGCTACCTCGTCATTCTCTCTTTCTCCCGATGACCATACACCACGGGCTTCCATTCGATATCGTCCTATATCGCGGTTCTAACGTATCCATTGGGATATTGCGTCCACCCATTTCCAGAAACTTTATACTCGGCCAATTTTATCGTGATATCGAAGGTCTGCTTGTTTCCACAGCTCCACGGACCATTTAACTCTGAACGATAGTAACTGGGTCATTTTTTACAAATACTCCATTTGTATATTTAAACGAAATAATGGAACTTTTGGAGTTGTCGTCTTACTTTTAGTAAACAAATTTTCACAATTTTTAAAAGACAAGACTGGGTGTAAAGAAATTTTATTATATATTTATCTCTTATTTTTTTATTAAACTATCATTATAGTTAACTGAGTCTATAATTACCATAATCATAGTGAATTCTGAACTTGGCAATTCTTTGACATAGCGAATGCCAAGCTTTGATGTAATAAAGAATGTGGCACACCTGGAGTAGGGTGCGGGGTGTGGTCCCTCTTCAACCCCCCTTGATTCGACGGTGCTAATATTCCATGGGAAATGAAGCTTTCCCTTAAAAATAGGGAATAGTTCGAAACGAAGTGCACACGAAAGGACAAAAACCAAACGCGGTTAGATTGGCGTTCATCGATTTCATGTCGCTTTGAAGCACAACGCTCGCAGCAGACTACTTTATAAATATTTGATCGATCGGCCGAGCGAGAGAGTTTAAATTTAACGCGGATGTGACGCGTTCGGATATTTACAAAATTATTGTGATACAAACGAATTGGAATTTAAAGTGAATCCATTCACTCGTATTGATCGGTCGAAATTGCTTTACTCTTTGGAACCAGTTATCGATTATATTTTGAGAGATAATTAATACTTAACGCGCTAAACTATTCTTCGTTGAGAAAATGAAATGTAAATCATGAAAAATTGAATATAATCGGGGAACTCGATGAAAAATCATAGAAATTATAGAATGTTAATATACAATGGTCAGAGAAACGACCCTCTATAGGGGATTGGAAGAAAGCAGGAACCTTTCGGCTAGCCCCGTAGAGGCAGATCTGAGAAAAGTGTGCGGAAACGTATCCCACGGTGGTTGTTTTCGGTGGTACAAAAGGTAAAGGTACCCGTCCTTGTTGTTTTTAGTGCGGAACCGAGGCATGTGGTCGACACTTCTCGTAATCGACGTACCAACCATCCCCTGTTCATGTTTTTCTGTATTTTTTGCACGCCTTCTTTCTACCTTTCCTCTCCCCTTCTCGTCTTTTTTACTATTCCTATAACAACCGTTTTGTGTCTAGGAAACCCTTTTGTGTGTTACGTTATTATTGGAACGTTTGAGACCTTATTAAATCCATCGATTTTTTTAAAAACAATTATTGAAAAAAATAATAAAAATCGAATGAAAATTGGAGCTCTCTCCCTGGTCCGTCGTCCGATGGTTGACCAATATCAGTGGCGTGTGTCATCTTAAGTCTAACGAAACGAAATGGTGAATTGGAGAAATGTAGGGCAAGAGGTGAGAAACGTTTTGTCGCCGATAAATGTCTAGCCAGCGAAAGGAAAGCGGTGTATCACGGTGGTAGTGTCGGTGAATATTTCAGTGGATCGCTTTCACCGTAAAATCACTCGTTCGGCCGTACTTATCGACCGAGATTTTCACAACGGTCACAGTTTTACTTTCACGCAACGCTTCTCTCCCGCTCTCTTTGATACGCGTCATTTCTCTTTCACGAAAATGCCACGTACTACCGTTTCGTACACCAAATCCCATGTTCCACTGCATGGCACTATCGAATAAAAATCAGCTTTTCTTTCATTTTTACTTTTAACCCTCCGAGAGATCCCCAATGGGGTCAGTTCTGTTATGTCAGAGGATACATGAAACGAGGCAATAATTTTGATCACCTTAATCATCTCTATCACTTTTACAACTTTAATCACAAAAATTGTACTCTATCATGGGGGTAATATACCATCAAATAGCTGAAGGTTATACCAGGCAATAATCCTGTTATTATAGGTTGTTAAAATTGTCTGAAAGTTTTATAGGGACACTAAAGTATAACATGCCATTTAAACAAATAAAGCTAATCGTGAAATCTCCAAAAATCCTCCGCCCACAGAAAGTTTCTACGAGTATATTAAACCCCCCTCGATATCCCACAACTTTTCATGTATCTCTAAAAGTAATGAAGGTAATTAAAACGAGCGAATTTATTGCACCACCTGGTATATCAGGTTTATTTAAATCCCTTTGAAATCAAAATAGTAACTCGGCTTTAATACAAATAACTTTTGATGATGATGAAGTTCATCTAACACGTATCGCACGACTGATTATCTCGAGCGCAGATTACTGTACTCCAGTCGGATGGGAATTTCAGAGAAGTTTTGCATGCTGGTTACGAGGCTTGCTTTGCTTTTTGAAACTTGATTGGAGTGTCTTTAATAGTTCTACTTGCAACTCTTAATACTTAGGGGTATGTGACTTTGGAATTGTATCTTGCGGCTTCAATTTTCCACTAATAAGCATTGTTTCAAATATTTGAAATCGTTATTAAAAGAGGAAAATTAAAATAAGTGATTTTTGCAATTTTTCTAAATTAATATTAGTGGTAATAAATATTTTGGACAAATTTTGATAAGATAGACTAATAAGATTACTAAAAATTAATTTTTAAATGGAATACTTTATTTTATTTTACAAAATTACATTCATAATGTTGGTCATTAATGACCAAGATAAACACGCCAGGTGAAGTTATGTTTTCCCAGGCCCCAAAGTCATAAAGATCCAAGATATGGAGACTTAAAATTTCTTTGTACGTCGTACATGTTGCAGATGGCAACTGTGAAAAATAGAGATATTCTAAAAAGAAAGAAAAAAAAAAAACTAACGGCATACGATGGCTTTATGAATCCACTGTTGACACGCAACGAACGTGTCGCGTTGCTTCGCTCCAGATGAGACGTTCCAGAGTAGAATAGGTGGGTCGTGTGCTCGGGTTCGAGCGAGCACGGTAGCGTGCCGCAAGCGATTGATGACTTGTGACCCACTTTTGAAAGGCTTGTGGCCTAGATGCGAGGGCGCCGTAGCCTGATCTAAGATATCAGCCTTCCCTCCTCTTCTTCGTCGTCTTCCATTCTTTTGCTCTTTTTTAATCCCTATCTACCTTGCGGACGACGGTACCCCGAACGTGAACACGCGGGACATGACTCGTGTGTTCCCTTGGGATCCTCGTTTCCTTTCTCAAATTTCGCTTCCACTTTGCTCCGCCTTTCTCCGATTTAGGGTCTGCCGCATTCGAATTTGAAAGATCTTTGCGGTTCGAAATTTCTCATCCTTTGTGTGACAGTAGGTCAATAGCTACAGCATTGCTTCCCTTCTTCATGAAAAATTATTCCATTGGTAAAATGAAGAAATCGCCCACAAATTGAAAAATAATAGAAAAATTCATAGGAGTTATAAAAGAAACTGTGAAATGCAATAGATTTTTTAACAACTTAGACGGCGGACCATGGAGAGAGCCCCAATTAAAAATGATCCTTCCGACGATTTCGCCGGCAACAATCTTGCAAAATATCAATCACACTCTTCTTGAACGTCGAACGTTATTATCGTTCGCAGGGGAAGCCGTGCTGTCAATCTTGGGAACGGTTTACAGCAACTCGCTAACCACGCAACTTACCTTCCTCGCTCAGCTTTCTCCGATAGCCGGCTAAATCGTGACAGGCTCGTCCACCGGAAGGAACAACGTTACGTGTATATAAGCGGTGTACGACGGCGGAGAGTTTCACGTCGAACGGTGTGGAGAGGTACATTGTAAAGAAAGGAGGTGGCGGTAGCGATGGAGGGGAAGGATGCTCTGTCGATGGAGAGTGTGCGACTGGCGGCGGCGATGGTGGAAAAGCGGTGGGGGCAGTTCCACGTCGCAGAGCGAGCCGAAAGACGATGTAGGCGCGCTCGCCGGATCGAGCTTCAGTGTCGTTCCGACCGCCGTTTCGTACGGTTGTCCAAGATATAACGGTGGCGAAATTATTCGTCGAGGTGTTTTCCCGTTTGTTTCGTATCGAAACCGCACTCCGGTGATTAGGAATCAGTGTCTGTCTGTTCGGTGATCGATCGGTAAAGACCGATGATGAAAATGGGCTAAAACACGGTGGTTAGGTGTCCGAGCACCGAAGACGTCGCGTTGGGGATCTGGGTCAGTGGAGTATAGGAAAGGTGTGGATGTGTCGGGTGATTAATCGGTGAGGTGCGATTAGCCGATTGTTTGTCGAGAGGCCAAGTGGTATCTTTGGCGGGTGGTCGAGTAAGATGAGCCCGGCCTCCCAGGGCGGCGTGGAGGTGGAGCGTTACATCGGCAGTTGCTTGATATCATCGAACATCAGAGGTGGATCACAGAAGATCGCGGGTAAGAAACAGGAGCCGGTGATCCGGGGCAAAAGTCGAAGCTGTTACGGCGGGCAGAATTTCGCGAACGGCACCGAGCAGTGTCAGGTGCAGTATGGTGCGGGCGGATGGACAGGTGCCCCGTTGATATCCATGACGTCCAGTCCCCGCAGATGCAATCAACAGCAACAGCAGCAGCAGCAGCAGCAACAGTCGCAGCAGGTTTGCGATCAGCAAGTGTCGGTTCACCTGCACAAGAATCCGCTTTCTAGACTGGCCATTCACACGCAGGGAGCGCCGCTGATCCTGGCCGGTAGGTTTCACAATCGCGGCAAGGTGCACACCAACGGCACCGCTAATGCCGTTGGCAACACGGTGTGCGGTAACGCCGCGGTTAATAGTTACGTTCACAACACTGGGAACACCGGCACGATGAACGCAGGGGTCAGGTGTCCACCGGCTCGGCCGCAGAGATCTATGGAACTGTCGAAGAAACAGCAAGGGAATCCCAAGTCCGAGAACGCGGCGGCCGGCAACAGTATCGCGAACATCGATTCCCTCAGCATCGCCAGCGACGAAAGTTCCGGCTCGAACAATTCCGAGAACAGTCTGCCGCGGATCATCAAGCCTAGGAAACGCAGAAAGAAGGACAGGAAACCGGCGAACAACGTGGCTATCTCGACGGACGTTGCGAAACACGAGGAGCAGCAACATCAGTCCGGTGGTAGCGTAGCAAGCAGCGAGCAGAGCAACGTGGTCGCCTTAAAACCGTACGTGCCCGCTTGTTACGAGCCGCGTTACGAGGCTGTGCCTGCTCACCTTCGAAGCCACAGAAGGCCAGGTCTCGGGAGGGAAGGCGCCTCGATGTACGGCATGTCGATGCAGGAGATGGTAGACTGCAGGCAGAGGTACGCGCATCGACACGCGGAGACGAAAGTGTTGGACGACAATCGGAACGTCGTGATGCCAGGGCAGATGCGCGCCATCCTGCCGAAAGATTACACAAGACACAACGGTCCTCCGCGTTACCTGCACGAGGACGGCGTTAAGGACGGGCTTGGGTCGTGTCAGTGCCGGTACTGCGACCCCTCGGCGCTCATATGGGACGTGGATCAAAACTGTTACTCGCCATTCCTCACCCCGTCCCCGTCCACCGAGTTCTGTCCCAGCCACTACTCTCAGATGCCGCTCTTCTTGTCCCGGCCGAGTTTAAACTGCCCGGAGCAGAACATCGACAGGCTGTTCAACGTGGACGCGGCGCGGCTTCAGGAGAAGGACAGCTGCGGCTCCAACGGTGTGGTACTCAGGCGCAGCTGGAGTGATCCGACCAGTTACTTCAGCGAGGAGATCGCCGCGCCTAGCAGAGACGTCGGGGTGATCGGCGACAGGGGACAGGCGGAAAGCGGGAAGCGTCGAACGCTGTGGCGCGGGGACACGATTGGTGTGCCCACAGGCAACGTTGGATCAGCAACCGCGACGGGGATGAACCTGGCCTCGCCTAAGGGCCTCGAGGTGTCGACGGAAATCATCACCTCGCCGAACGGTCACAGGGACCTGGAGATCAAATTCTATTCCGCCTCGCCTAACGCTGCCCCGACCGAGGAGGCGGACGAGGACGAGGACTTTAGCGACATATGGAGTTATCACGAGTCGAAGCTGCAGCAGGACTTTCGCACACTGCTGCAGGCCGAGGAATGAGCGCGGTCTTTGGGACCGAAAGGGAAAGCATTGGTCAATGGTGATCCGTGTGCTACCGCGTGACTACTGTGAGTGTGAGCGTGGGTTATGAAGATCCAGTTGGTCCGTTTTAGGGATTCGTCTCGCGTTGCCGCGTCCTCCGTTTCAGCCACCTGATTAGGTCCAACGACTTAGCCCTCGGACCCAGACCCGTTTGGACTATTAACCGAAAGACTCAGAGATAGTCCTAGCCAGTGCTGTCCACTTAGGCGGTGATGAAAATCCTTGTGTGAACGCGTACACATTACTCAACAATGGAAGGCTGTGGGGAGTCCGGCTTCACTGGACGCTGCGGCAGCCCGATCCCTCGGTGCCCCCCCTCCCTCGCCCCCAGCCGTCCGAGGGTTAAACGTATCGCGCGTTACTTTCTAACGCCAGCAAGAAGACTGTAGTGTAAAAGTGGAGAAGTAAATTAGGGTGAACAGCTTTTGGACCTTACGTACCCTAGCTATTTAGCCTCGTGCGACGGCCACCGCGTCGCCAGCAGTCCTCGGCGAAACGATCAACCAGCGTAACTGACGGTAACGAGCAAAACTACGTGTCGAACGATTCTTCTTCCTAACGGTGTACGTTGTATACACGTAGTATACGTGACGTGCGTGCACCGGTGAAGCATGCACGAGAGTAGGTCTGAAGGATCGTGGCTCTGCCTCGTACCCGTTTATCGATGACAACGTGCCACTAATAAACGCTGCTCGGACTCGCGTTTTTTCCCTCTTCCGCGTCCTCCCTATTTACCTTCGGATACTACGAACTTGTGATCTATTCGATTCTTTCGGTAAAACGAAATATATCTGATACCAGCATCAACGGTAGATGATTTTCAGTCGAAACGCGCCGTGGCGAATGGGATAATCACAGTCACTCAGTGTCCCGTGAATAATTGCCTTTCGATCGAACGCCAACGTTTTCGGTGTGCGTCCACCTGTCCGCGCGCGTGTGTTTTTCTCGTCAACGGTTGAAACGGTGTGCCGCGATATTTCAGACGCATCCTCGAATTGGCTCGCCGCGTTTGCTTCGCGTTAACTGTTCGGTTCGAACGTAGCGCTGAGACGAATCTATCGACCTGTTAACCGGGTAAGACGAAGTAACTCGTCCGATTCATCAGCATTCATCAGAGATATTTGTGTCCGAATGTATCATCGTACTTGCGTTAACCCTTTTACTATGTACGATGTTCAACAGTGAAAGGGTTGACCAGCCAGACGAATTAAGTCGTTTTCATTTATTTTCTATGACGCGTATAGGAAAGAAATGATTTCTTTCCCCGGTTAACAGGTCACACTGGTGGACAAAATAACGAGATGTTGAAATTTATTTTAGTTTGTTATTGAAAGGAAGATTTAAAGGATTGCTATTTGCTACATTATGATGTATTTTCTTTCATAATGAATGAAAATATTATTATAATTTAAAAGAAAATTTTTCACTGAAAGTCAATGAACTGTCTTCTTATTTTGTCTATCAGTGTAATTACGTCGCGTTTTACACTGATCAACTTAAGACTACGTATTAGGGTCCAATAGTTTTCAATTAGACTACTCCTAACTTTTTTTTATAAGAATTAGTTATTTACTGTCTGAAGATGAACGAGTAATTCTGAAATATTGTACATAAATTTTCTTCGGAAATCTTCAGCTTTGTAAATGACGATTGAAATTTTAATTAAAAGTTGGGTATAATTTGGTTTCTTCCATTTAGACTATTTTTATTCTGTCATTATAACATATACCATAAAAACGTATTGAAAATTAATTTGTTATATGTAACTTAAAATTAGGTGCTTTTGGACCTTAATACGTAAAACAGCGATAAATCCCTCGAACTTTCATCGAAAATATATTTAACACGTTGACTGTCACGATCTAATAACAGAAAAAAGAATACAGCTTGAAAAGGCAATAATTTTTAAACGAAAGAGTTTCATATATTCGAAGAATAATTTAGAAAAATGAAAGTAATATGAAATTACATTATATAAAATTTATTTCGAAATACGAAATAAAATTTTACTATCAATATTATTTTATTTACTTTTAATATAAAAATGTATGAAAACTGACCACAGTTAAAGGGTTAAGGATAAAATTGAATAATTTTCAAATTTCACGACAGTCAACGCGTTAATAGAAATACACGTAAGAAACATGATGTACCCACCAGCGAGCATCCTCTTTCATTTAAAATGTAAGGAGACTAGGTATTAAGGCGATCCAGTTAGATTATCACCGTTGTCTATATGTGTATAGGAGAAACGCGCGTGTCAAAACGGTCTGCCTTTTATTTACCAATTAGACCGTTAGAAACTGTCCGAACGATTTCGACGAAAGCAACAGAAGAGCGAGTCCCGATTAACCCTTTCAGTCTTATCTGCATTCTGCACTCGAAAAACATTGGAAAGTATTTTAAATCGTTGTACGATTGAAATTATAGGACCATCTTTCGACAGTCTGCTGACAGAATTTCCCGAGTTATATTTTGTTATAAATTTTTTGTAAAAGCTCCACATCTAATTTTCGATAAAATTTGTTTTTCAAACTTGACAAATGCCGAAATGCAAACATCAATATTTATTTCTCATTTTACACCGAATTTCAGCGAAACGAATGTTTGAATTTTGTTTTTAACAAATTATTTTTGTTTGCGAAAAAAATGAAAAAATTTATTTTCAATTTCTCAAGTTTCTAACTTAATTAAAAAATTTTTTAATTTTGAATAAAAGCGGTCCATTGATTTTCGTATATACCTTCGTAGTCTTGAAAGGGTTAATCACTGACGGCCGATTAACTAGACTCGCAAGGGAAATTTAGAAACCCGAAAAATCCGAATTTCCTTGAAACTGCAGCTTTGTAGAGATTTCTATTTCCCTACTTCCTTGGTGATTCGAGGTGAAAGCACTCCTTAAAGATTCATGTCTGTTTTCCCATTTTCTCCTCGATATAAAAGAAAGATGTTAGAATGAAAATTTAATAGCGCTTTATGCTCTATAAAACCGTGTAATGACGTTATTAAAAATTTCTTGTTTGAATAAACTACCTGGTTTAAAGATTTTCATCTTATTAAGTAAGAAGAATAGAATTTTATTAAAAATATAAATATGTATATTTAATCTGTTCGTTAATTTCGAAAACGTGTTAACAAATATATTTTGACAGAGTTTGGTATTATTCGAGTTAGATAAATAATTTTTCTATTATAAATCATTCAAATTATAAATATGTAAAAAGTTACATATGAAAAACAATATTTTCATGAAGGAATCTGGAAACTGTAATTATTTTTTAGGTGGTTTTATTATCTTTTTCACTTTTGAAATATTATTAAAGTAATTTAGCTATGGGATGGTAAGAAAACACCTGAATCTTTCAAATTGTTTCCCTTCTAAAAAGCCCCCCAAAATAAATTTATCTGACATTTCCATTAAGGTTGTTCACAACTCTATAAAATTCCAAATAAAATGGAATTTCTTGGGTTTCCAAAGTTTCCTTGTTATCGTGTCAGACGAGACACAAGGTCCTACACGAAGAATCATATTAGCAATATTTCTCTCTTGCCGGGTTCGTAGCAAGTTTTATTGCTAAGTAGCAACAGACAAATATTGACTATTGAGCCTTGTTAAAGCAGCACCGCCTCGTATTAAATACGGACCAGGTGATTGTTGTTGCTGCTTTAATAACAATCGTCGTTGATATTTTTCTTCGAGTGCGAGGGAATGTCGTTCAGACGATACCATCGTTCGCTCATGTCACGTTTAAACTTTGTCGTGTTGCGTTTCTCAATCAATTCGACCACACTGATCCTCCTTAAATAGTGTGTATCAATATTTCCCAACTACTAATCAATCGAAGCCTCTAGGAACACGCGGTACCCGAACTCGAAAAAATTTTCCGATACCTGCCTGAACTCCAATTTTCGGGTACCCGGCCACCCTTAGAAGCGTCGTTGATTGATATTTTTCACGAACAGTTTGTTTGAGAATCGAGCGAGCAACGGTACGAAAAAAAGCTTTGTGTCTCGTGTTTGTTTGAACGAATAAAACGAGAAAAATCACGCATGCTTTTTAATCAAAGGAATCCTGCTACTTAACTGACGTTTGAAACGTCATTTCATTATTTTTCTTCTTCTTTGCTTATGATCTCTGAAATAAGAACGAGAGAGAGAGATTCGAGATGGTATCATTTTATTATTTTTTTTTTTTTAAATTGCATTGATGAAACTATTTTTTCTTTGTCGTTTGACTCTTCTCCCTCTCTCCTTCTGATGATTGTATTTATTTTGAAAAATAATAATCGTCCTTTGACGATGCAATGTATTGTGATAACGCAACGATGATACACTCGACTCTGCTTCGTCGTTTAGACTGATCAACGCCGATCTACCAACGTCGCTTTAGTGCTCTGTCGTGCACTGATTCGAATTACATTGTTTGAAAAGAATTCAATAAAAACGTCTTTTAATTTAATCTTACAGATTACTATGATTTCATTAGAACCTAGCTTATTTAAACTCCCTGTTCTTCATTATGTGATTTTTTTCATTATTGAACATAATGATTGTATGGTCATTTTGACCCAGGTGTGGAAATAAGATATGCAAAATATAGGAATAAATAATTAATATTTATTTTCAATTTTTTATGAAAAATTATCCACTCTTACAAGCCCGCCCATGGCATTATAACAAGAGCCTACTGTATTATGGCAATCGGTATTGTACGAAATACAATAATATAAACGTCATCGACTCGGATCATTAATAATTCTTTTTCTCTTTTGACTCGCAAGGGGAATGTTTTTCTTCGACGCACCATAATAGTTAACGCGTGAAGTCTTGACGGTTGGATGGATGCTACCCTTTTTGTCCTTGTACGTAAGAAATAAGAGTGGCTTCTTCCCTTCCACCCCTCCTTAATCGAGGGAATCTACCCTTGCGCCAGTCTATACAGACCTATGTCGTTACTATGACGCAGCAGACGGAGGGAAAACTTCACTTGGCACATTTATCACCTTACGACTATCATTTGTTTGAGCCACTTAGAGAATGATGGGGCATTAGGAGAAAAGTTTCCATTACAAGTTTTCACCAAATTGAAGTCGAAAAACTGATATTAATGGGTACTCTAGAAAATAACTTTGGATTAGGCTGATTTTCTAAGTTTATTTATTAAATCGAATCGCCACCAATTAGAAGCTTGGAAATTTGAAAAATTTTTCGCTTTTTTAATCCTGTCGGCGGCGATATAACGAGAGTCTGCTGTAATAAATAAATAATTCTAATTCTATTTATATTTTAGAGACACGCTTTTAAAATTCATGGGTTTGATAGTACCACCCACCCATTGGATGTTAACGACTTCTTTCTCATTGCGTGGGTTGACAAAACTGTTATACTTCGCCCACACTAATTTCTCGACTTCATCTTCAAACTTTCAGTCCTTTCTTTTTCCATTACAGATCATTTTTCAATTGTCCTGTAAATTTAAGTGACGTTTCATGAACCTGAAAGATTATGGAGAAAGCAAACTTTCACCTTTGCTGATATTATCGTGAAACTTTTGTCAGTTGAAATGAGTTTCCATTGAAACGAACATTGATAAATTGCAATTCCTTGTAAAAGATTTTTTTTTTTAAATAGATACATAGTTATCATCATCTTTAATTCATACAGATAAATTTTTATTTCTTATTGTTGATTATTAAAGTAAAATAATTCCAAAAGTTCGTAAAAGATGTAGAGAGATAAAATATATCACTTGTAAAGGTCTGCTAGTAATTATTTTCTCTTTAATGATCCAGTTGTCTGCGAATTGTCGTTTCACGTATACATGGTTCCGCTTTGTTAATTAATCCGTCCCGTTTTTCATTTAATTAGCTGTTTGCAAATCGCTTTATTTCGTACGAGGAAAGAGAGGCTCTTTGAAATATTGGGTCAAAGCTAATCACGTCGGAGGAATTCGAGCCTCTCAGCGAACGTATTCAGAAAAAAAAGTCTCTCTGTGAGTTCGAATTAACATTTTTAATGAGTGACAGCTAATTACCTGATCAGAGTATTGTTCGATTACCCATTATGCGCCTTTTCAGTTACCTAATCAATCTGTTCCAGAGATACGAATAAATTTGTATTATCTGCTCATCACATTTCATAAACAGCATTTAATTGCAATTATTCGCGTTACTTAAAAATTTCATTTTACTCATTTATTATTTTATTCAACTTGGTGTTAATAACATAATAATCATTTATTTTATATTTAACTTTTAAATTCTTCTGACCTAAAATATTAACACTTGATTCTCATTTTGTGAGATTTTTAGCTTTTTCTCCCTATTGTTAAAGACTTACCTACCAATAAACATGAACCTGCTTTATACTCGGTTCTCCGTTAATAGCACCCTCGGTGCCGTATTATTTACTCTTTTACATAAGCATGGTTTCATAAATCGCTACGGTTTGTAGTTAATTTGCATCTGAATGCGCAGAAAGCTCGGCTGGTCGGACGAATTTTCCATAGACGACCTTGCGTTCAGTCGAACGAGCAAAAGCGGCCCCCTAATTGTTGCTACTTAAGGAAAATTAAGCTGGCCGCGCGTTCATTTCGAACGGCTCGAGGACAGTCGGTTGAGCGAGCAAAAAGTAGCTCTGGTAATGAGCACCAATTACTATAAGAGCGATAAGTGCACGCCGCTTGCTCGAGTGGATCTTCAAGCATCGACCGCGAAAGAAAGCACCTGAGCATCGTAAAGCTATCGTTGAACCTTGTTCTTCGACCGTTTTCATCTTGAAATATGGTAACACTGACAATTTCCCCCTTGGGACGGAAACATTCCACCATTTTCTTCCGCTTCCAAGTTTTCTTCTAACTTGTAGAACATTA